GAGCCTGTTTCCGATTCTGTGTCTCCCTCTCTCTCTGCCCCTCCCCCATTCATGCTCTGTCTCTCTCTGTCCCAAAAATAAATAAATGTTGAAAAAAAAATTTTAAAGATGAAGAAAACTAAGGCTCAGAGAGGTTAAGCAAGTTACCCAAGATCACACAGCTAGTAAGTGGAGGAATCAGTATCCAAACAAGGTCTGTCTCCACAACCTGTATTCTTCTGACCATGCCCTACTACTTTTCATCTGTGCAGTTTCTGATCTTGTTTGTATGCAGCAAGCCCAATTCCCCAAATGCATCACTCATTTTCTATTTGAGGCAACAAGGCCTCACACCATTTTTTAATGGGACCATGTGGATGCAGGGGAACAAACTAGAAAACCTTCCTGACGCTTTTGGGATCTCTTCAGAGGCTGAGATTCTAAATGACTGGACTGGAACCCAGGGACCCTGGGGCATGGCTGGGCAGATATTGGCAGGCGGTGTCCCTCCGTGCTCCACACATACTTGGTCTTGAAGTCCTCCACGCTGTCCTGCGTGGACTTCAGCTCAGACTGCAGCCGTCCTTTGTCATTGGCCAAGGTATCCAGCTGCTTCCTCAGAACACTTATGTAGGCCTCAAAGAGGGGTTCAAGGTTTTTGCTGGATGTAGTTGTCGTCTGCTGCTGGAGGAGGTTCCACTTGGTCTCCAGGATCTTATTCTGTTGCTCTAAGAACCGCACCTGTGTTAAAAAGGCACCGGCCAGCCCATGAGGGCCTGAATGAAGCTTTGGCAGGAGGATTGGCCACAGCCACCCAGGTGACCCAAAAGCCATACAAGTAGGGCCACCGTGTCACAACTCCAGGCACCATCCATTGGGGTCAACATGGCGGCCCTGCTCCATGGCAACGCTGGAACGCATGTGTTGCAGGCACCACTTCCTGACCACGGGGACCCAGAGGCCCTGAGGCAACTTGCTGAGAAGAACATTGAACTTCTATGCAATAATAAAATAAACAAAACTAGGAGATAAAACCACAGTCTGGGAACTCTTGCGTTCAAAGTGATGCTGACCCAAGGCAAAGGCATGATAAATTCGCCGAAGATTTTTGGAATAAATGGGCCTGAGGTGTCTCTTTAAACCTGTGCACAACTGAGTATCAATAGTTAGCACCAAGGCCCTAGACACATTCCCAGTCTCGGCCAGGCTCGCTCTCCAAGGGGACTTCCCTGAACCTTCCCTCTCTCTACGAAGAGATCCAACAAGATAAGCCAAGGTAGCGGTTTGGCACAATATTCCCACTGTATGTGCTTCAGAGCTGAAAGAAAAGCAGGTAAGGGTGACTGATCACAGTCTGAACCCACAAGATGCGATGAGGGGGATGAGACAAGGAAGCACCGAACTCTGGGCCTTGCTTTTATATCTGCGTGTCCTAGAGTCACCATAAAGCCTCTTTAAGCTACTGACGGCTTATCCAACTAGGAAGAAGAGAAAACGTTCCCACTCAGTCTACTCCAAGATTGTTCATTCTTGCCCCGTACGTTCTAAGAGGACTGAGATTTCGATGCACGGACAATCAAGGCACCCTTGACTAAATGTACTACACTCATCCACTAAATCATTAATCTTCAGATGACTTAGAAATCTGGGCTTATCTGCTTGCTATCATCCATCATACTTGGCTGTAACTGAGCTTCAAGGACGTGAATCTCTAGGGGCGCCTGGGTGGCTCAGTCGGTTGAGCATCCAACTTCGGCTCAGGTGGTGATCTCGCGGTTCATGAGATCGGGCCCCGCATCGGGCTCTGTACTGACAGCTCGGCATTCTGTGTCTCCGTCTCTCCCTACCTCTCCCCCACTCACATTCCATCTCTCTCTCTCTCTCTCTCTCTCTCTCTCTCTCTCTCTCTCAAAAATAAATAAATCTGAAAAGAAAAAAAAAAGGACTTGAATCTCTAGACCCTGCATGGAAAAGGAAGTTAGAGTACAAAGAGAAAAGGAGAGACCCAACCCCTCCTCTCTAACAGACCCAGAAATGAGCAAGTCTGCCCAGAGTCAGGAGGATGAAGAAGATGACTCTCCAGGGTCCCATTGGTCCCTTTTGCCTTTGGGAGACCAGCGTGGTTTTCTTCTGCTCCAACAACAAAAGTGCCACTAGTTAAATTCTTATATTAACTATAATTAATTTTGGCTAATCATTAGATTATTAGCCACGTTACTTCCAAAACCAAACCTGAGAAAACAGCAGGGAAACAATGCACCCAGGGAAACCGTATAGCAGGGATGCCTGGACTCAGCAAAGTTGAGCAATTTGCCCAGTGTCACAGGGCACGTCTAAGAAGACTCCCAACACTGCATTGCTCTGCGTAGCCTGTCTTCCCACCCCCGTGGACAAAAGAGGAAGACTTGGAGGAATGAGCCCCCTTTAACGGCTAGAAAACAGAGGCCCAGAGAAGTTCAGTGGTTCCCAACGCTGTGGCAGGCTCAGGTCTGAAAGCCCAGGACACAGGACCCCCGGTTTCTAGCACCGTGTCTGGCCAAAGGGGCGGCTCACCTTGTCGATGAAAGAGGCGAACTTGTTGTTGAGGGTCTTGATCTGCTCGCGCTCCTCAGTCCGGACCTTCTGGATCTCGGGGTCGATCTCCACGTGGAGTGGAGTCAGCAGGCTCTGGTTGATGGTGACCTCCTGAATCCCCCCAGCAGGGCAGACGGGGAAGCCGGGACCACCCCGTCCACCAAAAGAACCCCCAAATCCACTACCAAAGTTGCCAACGCCAAAACCTCCAGCAGCCCCGAAGCCAGCGCCTTGCCGGGACCCGGCCATGCTGATGGCGATGCTCTTTCTCCCCCCGAGATTGTAGAGGCTCCTGCTGCCGAAGCCCCCAGAGGAGCAGCGGCCCGTGCCCCCAGACGTGGAGACTGAGCTGAAGGCAGGCCTCTTGCCCCCGCCGACGACAGCCGAGACACAGCTAAAGCCCTGGGACCCGCCTCGGACGCACTGCTGTCTGGAGATCATGGTTGCGGAGAGGAGAGCGAGCTTGGCTTTCTCAGAGAAACTCGAGGGGCCAGGCCCGTGAATGCTGCAGCCCCAGCCTGGGTCTCTTATATGTGCTGAAGCAGCAGGGCTTGGTTGCAGGGACATAAAGGGAAAAATCTGAAACATCTCTGGGCTTGGCCTTTGGCACAGCCATCCTTCCCGTACCTGCTGAGTATGTCACTAAACACACCTACAGATGTCATTCGGAGGGCACAGGTTACAGGATCCCAACACACTCCCCTCCTGGAGAACCTGAACCGGTGCCCCAGGGCCTCCTGAATCACAGGCCCCTGCCTGGACCCAGCCCTTAGGGGTCCCCACCCACTGCCCCGTCCATCTCAACAGCCTCTCAGGGGGGCCCCCCCCCCCCCCCCCCGCCGGCTCCACACAAGATGGCCCATTGCCCATTCTCTCATTCCACAGATTTTGGAAACTGAGGGCCTGGGTTCAAGCGCAGGGCCCGCCCTCCCCTGCTCCGCAAACCTGGAGCGAGTCACTGCCCTGGGCTCAGATGCTTCCCCCGGAAGTTGGAAATAATACAAACATTTACCTGCAGCTCCTCTCAAGATACAACGAGATGATAATCGTAAACCATCAGAAGCTGCCCCCATGTTTATTCTCCTCGTTATTATTCCTCCACGCACACTTGGGGCCCACATGCACACACAAAAGGAGAAACACGTATTCCAGCCTTATAGCCTTCCAAACCTAGATCAAGACTCACCTCAACTTGACACGGTTGTCGAGACCCTACTATGTGCCAGGCGTGGAGCTGGGGACTGAGGAGACAGAACTCTGTCTCTGGCCCTCAAGACTCAGGTTCCTTCTCTGGCCTCTGTTCGGGTCTGTGTTTGTGGGGTTCTAGATCAGCGCTCTCCAGCCTGGGTCCCATCCCTACGGCGTGTGCCCCACTGCTCCGTTTGCTGCCCAGCTGTTCCCTCCACTCCACCAGGACAGGGCATGTTCTGTTTTCCTGTAATGACCCCCGCATTCGGGGCAGGAGTTTGTAACTCTTTTGGTGCTGAGGACCCCATTAGCAGAACAGTGAAGCCCGTGAGCCCCTTCTCAGAGCAATGTTTTTAACACAAAATCCCAGGGGCATCTGGGTGCCTGAGTTAAGCGTCTGACATCGGCTCAGGTCATGATCTTACGGTTCAAGGGTTTGAGCCCCAGGTCGGGGGCTCTGTGCTGACAGCTCAGAGCCTGGAGCCTGCTTCGGATTCTGTGCCTCCCTCTCTTTCTCTGTCCCTCCCCTGCTTGCATTCTGTCTCTCTCTCTCTCTCTCTCTCTCTCTCAAAAATAAACAGAAATAAATGAGTGAAAATAAGTGCAAAATCCTAGTTTTTAAGCCCTAACTTAAACTCTTCCCCACTGAGTGACATGGATCTGTGTTCAAATCCCACCTGGTGCCACTAACTAGCTGAATGCATGCGTTGTTCTTTTTTTAATTTCTATTTATTTTTTTAATATGAAATGTATTGGCAAATTGGTTTCCATACCACACCCAGTGCTCATCCCAACAAGTACCCTCCTCAATGCCCATCACCCACTTTCCCCTCCCTCCCACCTTCCCCCATCAACCCTCCGTTTACTCGCAGTTTTTAAGAGTCTCTTATGGTTTGGCTCCCTCCCTCTCTTTTTTTTTTCCTTCCCCTCCCCCATGGCCTTCTGTTAAGTTTCTCAGGATCCACCTAAGAGTGAAAACATACGGTATCTGTCTTTCTCTGCATGACTTCTCTCACTTTAGCTGAATGCATTCAAACCATCTTCTCATCTAGAAACTCGACACCTGCCTCTCACGTACCTGCGGGGCCTGGCACATAGTAGGTCAGTGGACATTCATTCCTACCCGGCCCAGACCTTGCCATTGCCACTTAAGATGACAAATTAGACAAATCTGTGGCCCTCCTCCTCTTCTAAAGCCCTGATGAGACTGCCATTGCAAATCTGAGGCACAGCAGTGATTGGGGCCTGGGTAATTCCCACAGGCCGGAGCTGACCATGACCTACCAAAAGTTGGCCACGGCAGAAATGAACAGCTCCCTCCCTGCGGAGAGAAAGGACAGGGCCCGTGGGGTGCAAAGAGGGAGGCGGTGGGTCCAGTTCCCAGGGACGGGGCTGCACGGAAGAATGGACTGGCGGGGGGGCTCCCTCCCCCCCCCCCCCCCTCCCCCCTCCCCCCTCTCCCTCTGATCTGTAATACCCCCCCCCAGTCCCACCTACCTCAGCCTCTGCCGAGCTCCACCTGTCAGGGTTCAGGTGGAAGGGGGGTGGAGGAGCCGTGGCCGTGAAGACAGGAGGCTCCCAGGCTCCATGGAAGGTCCACGGAAGAAAACCCACTGGGTAGTCCGTCCCCCTGGAGTAAGTGAGCACCCTAGAGCGAGGACCACCTCCTACAAGGGATGCCGCTGACACTTCACTCCCTCCTTCCATGAGTATTTATCGAACGCCAGCTTCATGCCCTCCCTGTGCTGAGTGCTTTGCACACAGGGCACCATTCTGTCTTCCTAAAGGGTCTCTGCAGGGTCACACAGTAGCAGGTGGTGGAGCCAGGACTGGAACCCACATCAGTCTCATCCCAGAGGCTCGGTGTCCCTGGCCTCTCACCATATCACCCTGCCCGGCGTGAAGCCGCTTGTCTAATTTCTACAGCAGCCAGTCCAGAATTGGTCACCTGAACAAACCTGGCTGACCCGACCATTCAGGTCAAGGGGGCTCTGAGGGCACTGGTATCCCAGGGTCTACTGCCCTCCACCCTGACCGCAGGTATGGGCATGGCTGGGTAGGAAGGCAGAGCTACTCCAGGTGTCTGGGGCTGCAGCTATAGGAGCAGAGGAGATCTGGCGCCACCCCCTTTGTGGAGCTGATGCTCGGCTGTCCTGCCCTGAGAGGAGACAGGAAGGCCACCAGGATTGCAGCCTGAGCTCAGACCCCGGCTGCCTCACCTGGGTCTCCACACCTCCCACTCACAGCTCCATCCTCTTGCCCCTGAACGGTTGACGAGAACCTTCCTGGCTAGGAGGAAGGTTTATATCTGCAGAGGTGAAGCCCCAAGGAGGCTCCTGAGATGTCCATTGTGCCTTGTCGTCTGTGACTGTGACACTCCCATGCTAGGAGAAAATGATGTGGTGTTGCACCTGGAGTTGTGTCCACTCGTGCCCAGAGCCTAGAAGAAAACGCAAGTGGGGATGGAAGGGATTTGGGGCGAGATGATATATAACATTCAACTTATTTTGTGCCTGTGGGTGCTTCTCAATTGAGGTACTGCTCATGGAGCTAATGCTAATGCGCACACCACCCTGAGACAAAAAATAAAACAAAGGAAAGGGCTTAGTGCTTTCCAGGTAGAACGGACTGTCATTTACAGTTGCCATTACCTGCGGGACACTGGGTGCTTTTCTGATAACAGTTCCATTCCTTACCACAACCCTGTAAAAGAGGTGTTGCTATGCTCGGTTTAGGGCTGCAGGCATTTGAGGCTCAGAGAGGTTATGCAACTTGCCTGAGGTCACACAGCTAGGAAGTGATGGCAGTGGGAAACCAGTCTTATCCGTCTAACTGCAAAGTCTAATGACCTTAACCTCTATACCACTTGACATCAGTGACTCTGCCCCACACAATACCTGCAGGAAAAAAAAGAAAAACAAACATACAGCAACTTCTACAGAACCATAGTTTATAATCCAACAGGGCATCAACAGGGTCCTTAACGAGCATGCTCTGTAGAGCTGTCTCTGTTCCTTCTGTTCCTTCTGCCCTTCCTTCTGGTTGTTCTGTTTACATTACCTCCTCCTTGCAAGTATCCAATTAGGTAGGACATTGTCCCAAGGGAGTGATTCTGTGTCGTTCAAGTAACCAGATCCAAATTAATGTAATTACATTTGGGCTTTTTCCATAATTTGGCTACTGTAGACAAACATCAGGGTATAAACACCAGGGTGCGTGCCCCCTTCAAATCCGTATTTTCGTAACCTTTGGGTGAATAGTGCAGTTGCTGGGTAGTAGGGTGGTTCTATTTTAACTTTTTGAGAAAACCCCACGCTGTTTTCCAGAGTGGCTGCACCAGTTTGCATTCCCACCAACAGTGTAAGAGGGTTCCCCTTTCTTCACATCTGCTGTTTCCTGTGTTGTTCATGTTAGCCATTCTGATGGATAAAGAAGATGTGGTGTGTGTATGTGTGTGTGTGTGTGTGTGTGTGTGTGTGTGTGTGTAATGGAATATTACTCCGCAATCAAAAAGAATGAAATCTTGCCATTTGCAACAACCTAGATGGAACTGGAAGGTACTATGCTAAGCAAAATAAGTCAGTCAGAGAAAGACAAATACCATATGATTTCACTCAAATGTGGAATTTAAGAAACAAAACAGATGAACATAGAGAAAAGAAACAAAAGAGAGAGAGACAAACCATAAAAGACTCTTACATACAGAGAATAAACTGAAGGTTGATGGGGGTGGGCGAGGTAGGTGATGGCATTAAGGAAGGCACTTGTGGCTGGGTGCTGTATGTAAGTGACGAATCGCTCAATTCTATTCCTGAAACCAATATGACCCTATATGTTAACTAACTAGAATTTAAATAAAAACCTGAAGCGTTAAAAAAATAAGGTATGCACCTACAAAAATTGTTTAATTTTTCTTTTCATTAAAAGCAAATTAACTTACTTACACATCCTACAATAAACCCAAGCCAAACAGGAAGAAAGTTCTAGACTACAGCCATAGTCTGTGCCTTTATTAAGTCAGAATTGCCAGAAGCTCACAAACCCCTCAAACTGTAACACGGGAAACCGAAGGTAGACATGCCTCCCGTCTGCAGGGGCAGATTTTTCCTGGAGTGACAGAAGCACACATGAGGGTCTTTCCCTAGAAAAGGGAGAGACGGCTGCTGCCCACATAGGCTGGACTCAGGAGGTGGAGCAAGGTGACTCTACCAGACAGCGAAGTCTAAAAGCCGGTTGTCATCCCACCCCCCAGCTTCCGCTATTGTCCACCGAGGACACCCTTTGTCCTCCAGCCACTGTTCCCACTCCTATCAAAGAGGTTGTCGGGCCAGGAGATCAGG